TTTTGTTGATAGATCAAGGCAATGAGAGTGAAAGAACTGGCTTTGGATCTTGAGCAGCAGAGACAGAACAATGATATCAAAGGAAAGAAGCCCATCCTGGACGAGGCAGAGATGGAGCCAAACACAAAAGGACATGATGTGGTTCCCAAAAGTTACAAACAAGAAGAACTGGATGAGATGTGAGTTCTATGCTGAATTATTTTTGCTGCATATTATTTTTGTGTTGATTAAAAATTCTGACTTCTGGTGACAAGTTAATTAAGGTTAGCAGCCTCCCTTGCTTCAGAGGAAGATGGTTTTACTGCTGATGTTTCAACATCTGGCACAGGGATTCCAGATGAAGAGGACGATGAGAATGAAGACGAAGAGATGATACTGGTAAGGATTTCCTTTTTCTTTTGATGATTTGATAAGAGACCTCATAAATTACTGTCCTTCAGTCCAGGCTTCAGGTCTCAAAGGACATAGTTATTTCACTATTGGAAGTTTTAGGTAGAGGACACTAAGCTCATGTTTGGCCTCCATTCAAAGTCATTTTCCACTGCACATTTCATGGGACCCAAAACTTTTATCAACTTTTCGTAAACATATTTCATCAACTTTTATCAAAATCTTCTAAAAATCGAACTTTTAGCTAAACCAAACAGGGGCTAAATTTTCCCTTTTCCTCAGTTTTTAATTTTCTTAACCACTTGCTTCCACCTTCTTTGTTGTGCAGCCAGAAATGCATGGGAAAATTGATCCTGCTGTCTTAGCTGCTTTGCCTCCATCCATGCAACTTGATCTTCTTGTTCAGGTAAGTGTGCCTTTCTCTCTATGTTTCTGCTCATGATGATGTCCAGGAAGGGTGACTTTTCTGTTCAAGTTATAGAAATGAACATCTAGGGAGAAAGTTCCAGTTGTTACTTCACCCGCTGATCTCCTGTTTGTAGATGAGAGAGAGACTGATGGCTGAGAACAGGCAGAAGTATCAAAAGGTCAAAAAGGTGCATTTTGAACACCCGTGTATGGGTATCCTAGAAAAAACATTTTTTTGGTAGTATCACTCTTTTCTTCCGTTACTTTTTGCAATCACTTCCTCTGCAACGACACTGTTCACTTTTG